GTAGGAGACCCTTACTTTAAGCCTGTGAGTGTGTATACAAACACACAAGGTAAGGATTGCTTGAGGGCTCAGCACAATTTGGTTATTGCATGGCTTTGTTTTCTTGACTCGAGTTAAAAAGGCTTTAACAAAGCTCCCATAAATAAGAGACCAAGTAAATAAAAATCTCATATTTGTACTGTTACACTAATAAGCTTAATAACAATAATCCACAAACATCTGCAATCATAAAATAAAAACTTCATTACCATTTCAATGCAGTCACTATAAACCCTCAGGTTAGCCAGTATACCAGCTGTGTCCTGGTGCTTCACAACACAAAACAGCAATTCATTCCAAATTACCACTCTCTGTTAGTGACTCTTGCTCTCTGGCTCCCATCCCAAATGCTCCTGCTGTTCAGGTCTATTGTTTCCCCTCACTAGAAGTCTTTTATTTTCTGGGGAAGCTTGAAGGATTGTCTCCATGAGAAACTAGGCAAATCTTCTAACTTCTGATTTCCCACTCTGTTCTCCAATGTTCTGGACATTCTCAGCCTTTTTTTCCTTCTATCCAGTGGCCTCTCATATATATTTCTAGATGCTTTATAGAATGCTTCACCCAAAGAATGAAATCGAAGGAGTTAACAAAGCATGTGCTGCTGTTTTGTGGCTTTGTAAAATGAACTTGTCCAAGATTCAGATAATGAGCTTTAGTTTCTCTATAGGAGCTATGGAGTTGAGAAAACTCCCACTGCATCGTTCCTGCCATGGACCTCTAGGTCATCAAATTCCATATAAAATTACAGAGAACTTCCCTCTGAGAATTTATGGCCTCAGAACAGCAGGTTAAAAACCAGACTAGTGGAAAATGAAGGATGGTCTTTGAACCACATATAACACATATACCAGTTTATAGAAACTTTATACTACTTAAGAGCTCATGCTTAACAGGCAGTTTATTTTTATGTGGCAAAAATACTTATCTCTCCCCTTTCATCTGGAGCTTAGAATTTTTTTGCAATCCCAAGAACAATTGAGGAGGGAGAATAAGAGGACATTTGATCTTAGCCCTACTGATGATATGTAAAATTTTAGGAAAACACTGTCTTTTGAATTAACTCTTCCAGTGTCTAAACATAACCAATAAACTTGATTCTTCCAGGACATGGGAATTCAATCTACTTACTGTCAAAGTAGGGATCATTTAAATATTTCTTTTATTTGTAATTTCTAATTAGATGTTAGAAAATAGTGGGGAAAGTATACATATATTCTGTTTAGCTTTCATCCTAGGGACCTAGGCATCAGTTTGTAAAACCTCTTAAGATTTTAATCTGGGAGACTTTTATGGAATAGGTGAGTCCACCATTGAAGCCGTGAGTTATTTTCAGACCATCTTCCCCTTGAAATATGGCACTTTCTGAAACTAAGGGTAACCTTAATACTAGTATGTACCACAGATATCTTTACTCTCTAGTGAATTGCCTATTTTCACTCCATCAATAAAATAGACCGCTCTGCCTGCTAACTTAAAATGGATCTCTGCTGAGATGAATCCTGGTGTCCATTCTTAATGCCACACATCCTTTTCCAAGAAGCCTGTTATACAAACAGAACATTGTTCTTGCATGGCAAATTTACAAAGGCAGAAGGTAAAAGGGCACAAGGATCTGTCCGCAGGTTTCCATTGAGGAAACATTGGTCATAAATGTAGTCATGGGCTCATTTTCATAGATCGAGCTCAATAATCTTCTCAAGGGCTGCTTTTAAATCTTGACAAGAAATTTCCCACAAAGAAGTATAGGCATTGTAACACAAAGAATGTAAATGGGATACTCTGAAAAGCTGGTTCATTTTAAACACAAACGCTAAGGGTGGGCTAACCTATGATTTATCATTAGTGGGTAATCTTTTCTTTAGCAGCTAACAAATGATACTTGACATATTTTTCAAGATAGAAAAATAAAGTGACATCCGTTTATGGAGTTCACCACAGATCCATACATTGATGGGCTGTTTTGACAATTGGCTTCTAAAAATAGATTTAGGACAGATATAGGCATTTCTTGGCATGGTTCCTGTCATCACAGAATGCCTATATGATCAATTTCTGGTAACTGAATGACTGTTTTTGGAGATTGAAGGAGTGAGCTGTGGTCATTTTGGAGACAACTCTGAGGCTCCTAGTAATTCTGATCAGAGTTTTCCATTATAAACATGAAATCCCAGAAATGAATCAACTTAAAGGGCTGAAAACATTCTAAAAGCACTAGCACTACCCTGAACCGTGCCTTTTTATGCGGCAGTGTGACACACCTGTGCAAATCTACTATACTCACATAGATGATTTATACAGACTGGGTTTAAAATGTATCATTTCTAAAAGGGACTAGGGAAGCTTACTGACTCTGAATACCAGCAATCAGGAAGCTGAGGGTGGATCAGTGTCAGCATGTGATAGGTCAAGTCAGATTTTGGAAGGCAGGAGCAACTTGGAATAGGGATTCAGTCACAGTATTTGATGGCTCTAAGTTGTTACAGGTTATGACATTCAGTAAGCACAGGACAGAAATAGTGGGTAACTGGATAACTTTTGCTGGGATACTTAGAACACCGAATTAAGTTGACAGGCCCTTAAAGGAGACAGAACTTTCACACACACACCCCACACAAACACACACACACACCTTTACATATATACACATGTATTAGCATGCATGTATATATAACATGTACACACAAAAAATGTGCCTTTTTTTAGAAAATATGTATATTAGAAATACACTAAATATCTCCATGTACATGGCAATCTTCTACAAATAGTATGCAATAAAACAACCAAATGTAAATCTGTATTATTTAGCATTATAGCTTAGTTCTTAATTCAGAGGACAGGATACTGTTAGACGTAAAAGTAAATAAGCTATAGAACAACTTTTAAAGAAAATCTTGATTTAAATAAATAATGTCAATGTTTTATATGAGATAGGATTAGATTCTAATTCCTTGTTTTCATGGTAACTTCTAGCAAGTCTTTCTATAGTTTGATATTTGTTTCATGCTTTACTTTTCTTTTTTCACATGCTATCCTGACTTATATCCTTAAAATTGCCTTGAAGACCTTCAGAACACTTTTTATTCTGTCATCTTGAGCAGTGGATTTCCTCAATGTCATCTCATTTTCCAAAGACCAGGTAAGTTGCCTTGTCATTAAACTGCCTTTTGATTTCTAGTGGTAATTTATTTTAATTTGAAAATCTTTCTCATCTTCTTAGAAACTCAAGGGTAGACTAAATTAACAGTAATTGTAGAAAGGCAAATGGGTAGCTATTAAAAATCTTGCTAAAGACAATTTGGAAGTGAAGGGTGAAGGCGAACTGGAAATGGGGGTCAGAGGAAAGGGATAATTAAAACCACTCTGATTAAATTCCATCTATTGAAATATTTCAATGAAATGATCATTCACACCCTGAGGGAAAATTGTCATCTCATTCTGTATGGAATTCCTATTTCTGAGAACTAAAAATTTGCTAAAGTAGTAGATTAATCCAAAATTAGATTGTAAAATGCTTGCAATAAGCAACATCTCCAAATCACGGTCAAGTACAAACAGATATTCGGTGACAAAATATCCTACATAGATTAAAATACAATTAATGAAAATACCTTCCAGTTTGTCAGGGTTTTATTATCATGCTTTACAAATTTAATAACATATTCTGAGCTGATATAAGCCATAAAATAACATGTTTCTTTGTCTGGCAAGGATACCCAGCTTCTGTACTTGAGAACCAAAAAACTGTTCTTAAAAACATGTGAGACAGCAATGAAACATTGCTAATGCCATGATTGATCACCAGCTTTATAACTTATCTCAGCAAGTCAAATGAAAGCTTTAGTAAATGTTCACAGTGTGCAAAAACTTGTGTGGCAATGATGAAATGGTATAGTATTGCTTTAACAAAAAAAAAGAAAAGAAAAAATATCCTCATACAGTGGGTCATATGCAGTAAGAGCTTAGTTACAGTTAGTTTCTTTCCTGACTCTTTTTTATTTTATTTTTTAAAGATTTATTTATTTTTATACAAGAACCGGGGTACAGGCTTGATGCATGGGAGGGTGAGAGGATTCACCGGAGACAGAGTGGGAACAGAACAGGCAGACTGAAGAATACACTGCTGAGGGGAGCAGTGGGCGAGACAGGAGAGGTCTGCTTCGCCATGTGGGATTCTTGCCTGCGGGCATGGATCAATCAAACCTGCGCTGCAAAGACTGCAGACAGCTTTACAGTGCAGGCACTCAACTGCCTGCACCACCAGGGAGGCCCTCTTTCCTGACTCTTACTGAGAGATTTGGAATAAAGAGACGTAGAAGAAGTTACATGGTATTCAAGAGAAGGCCTCTATTTTGAAGTGTTCTCACTATCAAAGGGTGGGTTTGGGGGGGGGTAGCAATGATTTGTCCCTCCTCTTTCATGTCCTTTGGGAATCAACATGTTGGTTTATATTATGGTGACACCAAAGTTTGACTTTCTCATGGGAACTAAATCTTCTGTCTTGTCCCCTCTAGTCTTCGAATCAAGCTGAAGAACAGCACGAATGTGTGATGATTTTAGCAATCGTTAAATGTAATATTTTCACGGAGCAGTCCTCTACTTCCTTATGTGACCCTGTGTTCTTTCATTTGGCTGAATCTCTTGGAAAATTACTTGGACTGTTTTTCATTTATGCATTTCAAGATAAATTCCAAACAAGGTTATATATAAATCACAGGATTTTCAACCTATATGGCCCCTGATCTTTTTAATAGCCCAAGGGAATCCTTGATCCCCTTGAAGTAATTTGAGACATTCTCACTATTCTTACCTCAAATGAAGAATTTCTCTCGTCCCTGTTGGGATTGAATCTACTTAGGAAAGAGCATTTATCACTAAAAATGAGATTCATCTTCCCCCAAAATAAAACCTTTGCTTTGTTTTTCCTTCATAGGTTTGTGATGGACTTGAAGAATGTGGTGGATCATGAAGAGACAGTCTTTTTCCCTTCCCCTTGCCTGAGGGGATCTTGACATATTTTGCTAATAGAATGTGGCCAAAGGAATGCTGTGTAATATTCTTAGAACCGTGAGAGAAGCTCAATCACCATAGAGGGGTTTTCCAGTCAGCAGGCCTGGTTGATCTTTCAGCAAAATGTGAGTGTGCCATCTTGGATCCCACACTGCCTGGCCTCTGGAGGAGTGAAGCCTAGTAGACAGTGCATGGACCAGAAGAACTGCTTAGATGAGCCCAGTGAATTCACAGTGCCTTTATGGAGAAAATAACGATTGTGGGTTGTTCTGAACCACTAATTTTTATAGTGGTTTGTTATATACCTAAACCCATACAGACATTATTAATGTTCTCTCCAAGTTTGCTTTGAGTCATATGGCACATAAGTTGTTTAGTTGGGGATTTCTGTTTTTGAAACTTTTTTTCTTAAATGTAACTATTTTGATGGATAAAAATTAAAGTTGATGCCATAGTGACAAAAGTACCAAGTCTACTTAAGTTACTGGAAAAGGGGTGAAATCAAATGTTATAAAGACTGATTGGTGTTGGGGAAGAGGGTGTCTCAGGGTGAGGGCTGTATCAATTTTACCTGGTTGCTGTCAATGCTGGTACATTCCAGGGAAAGCTCTTGGACTTTAAAACTCTGCCCCAATTTTTTGAGATGTACAAGTAAACCTTCATTCTCTTATTATTTTCATATTGAATTAGAAGTTCTTTTACATAAATATAATTTTCTCAGCATCTGTTGATTTTTTTGAACCATAAAATTTAGCAGGAAATTAAAAGCATGAAGACTTGCATAGCATAATGCTGAGTTATGCAAGTTTGAAATAAAACTTTATCTAATTCTGTCACAGAAATCTGTTTTTTAGAGCATACAGCCTGACAAGCTCACATTACTCACATTTGTGAATGCCACCTCACTCTCCTCCTGAGATGATTTTGTTGCTCACCAGTTTGATGGGCCAGTAGAAAATGTATGTGCCAATAGCCTGGGTCAGGTGCCAGCTGCTTTGGACTCCTTTGATTGCCATGTCCCTTCTGGAGAGGGCAGGTTGCCAAGGAAGTAGCAGGATTCAGAACTGAATCAAGGTCAAGAGACAATAGACATGGCATCCGCTGTAGTGGAAATTAGCCGAGTTTACTGTGGGATACAGGCAATAGATACACAGCCAAGAATGTGACCAGAACCATTTGAGCTAGTGTTGAATTTTAGGGCCCTTTGTTTTTTATTCATCCTATGTCACAACAATTAATTTGAGAGGGAACTGGCTAGAAAGTTTGGTGAAATTATTTTCGTGTCCACTAGGAAGCAAAAGTGATCTCAATTAAGAGTGCTGGTCTTTGGTGCAGGACATTGAGCCATGAGTACTGGTGCTAGAGTGCTAGGTGAATAAAGGATAGGTAATATAAGGAGGTGTGAGTGTCAAGCCCTGGGCAGCAGGCAGAGAGCAAGGGATGGCAACAGAGTGATAGGGAGCTCAGTTTTGGGAAGCAGAGCTTGGAAACATTCCTGGATGCAAATTAGTACAAATACTGGAAGATTTTAAAATGTCATCTGCAATCAAACACAAGGGAAAAGAGGGGGGTAATAAGAAGCATCAGAAGGAACAATGGATTAATATTCAAGAGACCTGTGGGCCTCCCTGGTGGCGCAAGGGATTAAGTTGCAACACTATGGAGCTATCCCCAGCCACTGCAACCTGGCAGGCCAGGGAGGTGACCCACACATTGCAGCAGACTTCTCCTATCTTGCCTGCTGCTCCCTTCAGCAGTGTATTTCAGTCAATGCACCTGTTCTGTTCCCCACTCTCTCTGGTGAATCCTCTAACCCCTCCACCCCCCACCACATCCCTTGCTCTCTTCCTGCTGCCCAGGGCTTGACACTCATACCTCCTTATATTACCTGTCCTTTGTCCACCTATTCTGGCCTTCTGGCTTATTTATGTATACATAAATAAATGAATCTTAAAAAAAAAAAGAATCAAGAGACCTATAATGTATACCTAGTTTAGAAGCTAAATATTGATAGTAAGTCATTTCAAACCAAGAAATCTAAAGCAAAATGATGGGTTTGGTTCAATCAAGGGGTGGTATTATATCAACAATTGTCTTAGAGTGCTAGTTTGTCAGTAAAATATGTAGAATATGCCATGCATTCCATAAAAATGAGCCTCTGAGATAAGTGGATTATAATTTATGTTTTCAAATTCCAAGCAGAGTCCCATCATTGTTATTGTTGGAATTTTCCTATATCTGAGATCCCATTTAGCTTTGACTCTATATGCTTCTTTTATTTTAGTCTTGAACTTATGAGTCACAGTATTTTTTTTTTTTTTTTTGGTTGGTTGGCTGTCATCCTTCAGTCTACAAGAAACTATCATAAAACCAGCTTTCTGTAGTTATTGACATTAAAAATGTGAGAGTAATTTTTATCCTTACTCTGGAGCAGGGAAGAACTTGGCATAGGGTTCTTGAATCATCCTTTATGAGCCCAAATGAGGAAGGGTTATTGTAAATGTGGGCCAGAGGTGGGGGTCTATTGAGCTTGGGAATCAGAGTGTGTAGACCTTAACTCTGTCTCTTGACACTCTGAATAAAGGGATTTGTTTGAGGATGAAGGATTTTGATGTTTTACTAACAGGCACACATACCGTAGGATCTGGTATGTCAGAATTTGTTAGTAGTTCCCTGAGACGGTCAGGGCAATTATTTTATGTAGCCTGAGAAATACATCATCCTCCATAAGGACAGTTATTTGTCCTCTGAAAAGCCAAAAATATGTTGCTTTTTCCTCTCAAATGCTGCATCAGGGTGTTCTGTGATGGATATCACAATGTAATAGTCAGGTCCCAGTTTTCTATTCTCATCCACGGAAAGGATAGAAGAATAAAGCTTGGACACAGATTAGACTTTGCTTTTATAGTTACCACTAGTCTTACCAACACATACTTCTGACTAAATTACTCAAACGCCTTCTAATCATCACTACCAATATTGCAACTCCAGTGAAAGGTGCTTACTTTAACAAGTGCCAAGTACCAACACACTGTAACTCACTGAATGTACCCAAGAATAGACTGAGGTTGGTATTATAGACCCTATTTCACATAATGATTCTTTAGGCCAGTGGTAAGTGCAACATATTTAACAACTCAGTAATGGATTGAAGTTGCAGGTAGATATCTTAGGGTTACCAGGTTGATAATTAACCCTAATGTTCCTTCTATTCTTTTCCTGGAATTGACATCAATTCTTTCTTGAAGTCTTAATTAAAATATTGCTTCTTCAAAGAGGTGTCCATCCCTAAGGGCTGAGCTAGTGCTCCCTCTGCTATGCCTTCAAAGCATTATCTTTTTGAGGAAAGCTCATCACACCTATAACTTAATTTCAGTATGTCATCCTCCCCAGAGAAGTGTTTTCTCATCAAAGATTTATAGGGAGTTCAGATAGAAAACACATGTGGAAGTAGCACAGTATACAGAATTGGACTATGTGTAAGTCACTATCGGTTTCGACAGAAAATCTGTCAGGATTCTCAATTAATGATATTAATTTGATTTTATGGATGTTGAAGTTCTACTTGTATTTATTTTATCATTTTTACTTTTTAATAACTGCATGAACTAGATGCATAATGTATTCATATCTAGTTTTATGTTTATATATTTTGATGTAACATTGTAGTCTAATTAAGTCACAGTGGGTATGTGGGAGAATTGGTTTTGGCACATAAAAATGAGACCTTTACCCTCTGCAAGTCTGAGGAACATTGGGTGAAACAGTAATTTCCAGGAAGCCATGACCTGTGTTCCTCTCGCTCATACCTAGATCTCCACATCTAGCAGTTTGCCCATGGCCCAACACATATTATGTCCTCATAGATACATGGTAAATGAATGGGAAGTGAATCTTTCATTTTATTCAATTCTTTCTTTTCCTAATCTGTTCTACTGTGTGAGTTCTATTCTCTGGGCTTCACAATGAATGAGCATGGGCTTACTGACATTTTTCTCTTCCTTCTAACTGTGTTTCCTCTGTTTCTGACAACACCCTTGATGATTGCCACATTGCTGTTGGTCTTTCTGGGCCAGTCTTGCAGAACCCCGAAAAGGAAAGACACATACTGCTTTATAAAATGAGTCATCCTCAGTCTCCTTATCATGCCAAGCATTTTTAGAGCACTTGGTTAAAGGATTAAATTTTCCAAAGATTTCTAAAAACTTTTAGGAGCACACCTTTGTATGAATGTATTTAGAACACTTAGCTGATGAAAACAGAATGTTTTGTAAACACAGAGGTTTCTATGACACCAAGTCACTTAAACTCCAAAGTAAAAGACAAAACAAAATAAGTTTAATGCTTTTTAAAATGCACTGATATTAAGGTTTTTAAAAATGCATTAATACTAAGATACACCTCAAAGTATTTTGTTAGGAAACAAGATATTAAGAGAGGCGTAATGAAAAATGGTTTGTAAATGAAAAATGTTCTCTGAAATTGCTAAAATAATCTGCATTGAAAAATCAAGAATCTTGTGTCTCTGTAGAGATGAATATAGAGACACATATTTATCGGACCTGACTTAAACATTGATATGCTACTTATTTCTATGTAGGAAATTTCTTTGAGTCACTGAGTTCTCACAGGGTTGTTGTGAGGTAATCTGGGAATTTTTTGTTTGACTGGAAAAGGTTATATATTTTTAAACATGTTTTGAAAACAATGGGTTGAAGTCACCTGATTAGACCTGTTACTGATTACTTTAAAAGCGAAATCTGAGAAGCCCATCCCTCCCTCCCTCCCACCCACTCCAGTCAGCCGCAGAAGCAGCTTGTGGGCAGTACAAGCCGCAGCGGCTGGGGGGCAGTTTACCACCCGCCACCAGCGGCCCCACTGGGGCTCATGCTGCAAGCAGAGGCCAGCAGTGATGGCGGATGGCAGTGGGTCCCCTACCATGCTGCCCCAGGGCAGGTAGCCCCTGGTTCAAGGCTGCAGGGAAGAGCATAGGGCCTCATTAGGCCAGCTCCAGCATGGCTGTCTGGTCCAGTATCCATGCTATCTGACCCGACCTTCAGACTGTTGCTGTGAGCTGCTAAGGTGTCATCTCAGAGGCCCGACCTGTGAGCACCTCCAGCTAAGG